CCAACCTATCTTGTGGGAAAAACATGGGGTTTTATAATAATTACCGTCGCTCTGAGGGGTCCCATAAAAATTGGACCATCCAAAATAGTAGAGTCTGAAAAAAAATTCTTTCCTGAAAGTATCAACCAAGAAACGCTTGCGGATCAAACAAATGATGGAAAACTTCAATTTATGCTACCAATGTTAATCCGATCGACATGTTAGTTTTTGCAAAATTAACAAAATCTGTTTGCTAAATTGGCCTTTTTTCACTACCTGTATAGGTTATCAGTGACTTTTTTTCGCAATTCTTGCTGAAAGTGTTTGAAAATACTTGAAATGAGTGCGGCAGCCCTTTACAGTACTAAAACAAGGCAAAAAATTGGACCAAAAAATGACTTAAAAGCAAAAAGTTGGCCAAAGATTATCGGATTTGGACCCTCCGAATCCTTCCTTTTCCGAGTTTTGAGTCTCTACCCCAATCCACGGAGCTATTCGGAGGGTTACTTAAAAAATTTTCTAGTAACTGAGCTCGTTATGCTAGCAAGCTCCTAACGCAAAATTTTTTATCGCTTAACCGCTAAAAACTCAAAAATTCAATCCTTAAAACATTTTGACGAAATTCAAAAATTACAAAAAAAATTCTGATCGGACAATTTACTTTCGCCAACATCTACTGAATATTTTCCCGCGCGGTTTCTTTAGTTAGGGGGCTTGAACACCTTAGTAGCTCACTGTGCAGAAGCGTTATATTATTCGGAAAAACTTGGATATCCAAAAATTTGGGGTTAACATTTTGTTAACATTTTGTGTTTTTCGGGTCTACATGGGAGATAGGTAATATAAAATAACGGTAATAACCTGTTAAGAGTCGTTAATAAAAATTAATATAGGCTATTTTACACCAAAATACCCGAATTAAGTCCTTTAACTCGGAAATTTGCAATCGATGGAGGGTACAATCGGACCGCGCCAATTGTGTCCCCAACCATTTAAATGTATTGAAATATTACCCGAACGATGCTAAAATTGTGTTAAAGTCACCCAACGAACAATGTGGAGGTTATCCTTGTTGTCCCTTGTTGCTTCTGAAACAAGTCGGTCAATTTGCCACTCTACTCTCCGGTCACAGGCAAAAATATCATTAACGTGCTTAAATACTCAAACAACACTCGAGGGAGGGTACCTGACCAACTACCAAAACACTCAATCTTTCGATCAGTAATGATATAAAACAACCCGAAACAACAGTAAATTGGAAAGTCCTCAGATCTCCTCCTCTTTTTAGTCATTTTTGTTTTGTGTTTTTCACTGTTTTTTCTACTTTTTTGTTTTTAGTAAATTTGTTTTCGGCTGTTTCTTGGTAATACACTGTTTTGTGTTTGGTCTTATGCTTTCTATTTATTTGCGTTTGGTCTCAGACCTCACGATCATGACTTCTCACCTAACCTAATCATGACCTCACCCGAAACTTTCAGTCTTAACTAGGTTAAAGAGCCAAATTGTGCCATGTGGAGGGTCCGCACCTTCTTCCTTGAACAATACAAGTCATTAAGGCCTCTAACTCGGGCATAAGCCCGGAACGGAGGGTTCATCAATGAAACGTTTGCTGATTGTGTTGGTCTATTGCTTCTAACAGGCCCACCCAGGAGCGCCATAAAATCGTATTTGTAACTTTCGCCCATACAATACATAGTGACGGAGCGAAGAAAAAGTACCCATTGACGACTGCCTGACGTCAAATACTCAAGTTACCATTTCTAGGCCATCAGCCAAACGACTTTTGCTCAGCTTTACTTACATGCAAAAAAAACTAGATAGCTGGGTCTCGGATCCCCAGACTACGTGATTATTATTAAAAACACTGGTAGAAAAACATATTTTACTTTGTTTTTAGTGACAGTTATTGACTAAATCCATTGAGATGGATTGATTCTTTCCTAGACTCTAACTACTCATGCTCTGAAATAATGAACAAAATTGGAGTTAATTAGATAGTTCATGGCATTACAGTAGCTAAAACATGTGTTCACAAACTCTAGCAGTTTTTTGGTCACCGGGCCTCCAATTCCTGGTTCCCCGGGATAACGCAGTTATCTCCCTAATTTCGTGGGACGTGATGGAACGAATCCGCTCCGGTTGTCCCACTGGACCTCCCTTCCGTCTGATCTCTTTCAGTTAAGCGTCTTATCGTGTCGTTTTATCACGATATGGCCGTTTTTACTTTTCGGAGAAATAGCCTAGCGCCAATTTAAATTTTGAAAGTTTACATTCTAGACGGTTCTGACCCTCCTTTTCATAACGATTTCACTGTTAACGTTTTTTTTTCTCGTTTTCATCGGTGGGTTCAACTGTATCAATCCGGGGGATTGGCACACTGATTCGCAGTTTAAGTTTATGCAAACTAGATTTGCAATCTAATTTTTCTAAAATTTCTTGAAAAATTACTAAAAAACGTCATTAAAAATCACTAAAAAAATCACCAACTCAAGAATTATTAGTGATTCTTGAAAAATCACTAAAAAATATCATTAAACTGCTTAAATACTCAAACAACACTCGAGGGAGGGTGCCTGACCAACTACCAAAACACTCAATCTTTCGATCAGTAATGATATAAAACAACCTGAATCAACAGTAAATAGTAAAGTCAGATCATATCTCGTCCTCTTTTTAGTCATTTTTGTTTTGTGTTTTTCACTGTTTTTTCTACTTTTTTGTTTTTAGTAAATTTGTTTTCGGCTTTTTCTTGGTAATACACTGTTTTGTGTTTGGTTTTACGCTTTCTCTTCATTTGTGTTTGGTCTCAGGCCTCACGATCATGATTTCTCACCTAACCCTCTCACCCCGGAAACTTTCAGTCTTAAATAGGTTAAAGAGCCAAATTGTGCCATGTGGAGGGTCCGCACCTTCTTCCTTGAACAATACAAGTCATTAAGGCCTCTAACTTGGGCATAAGCCCGGAACGGAGGGTTCATCAATGAAACGTTTGCTGATTGTGTTGGTCTATTGCTTCTAACAGGCCCACCCAGGAGCGCCATAAAATCGTATTTGTAACTTTCGCCCATACAATACATAGTGACGGAGCGAAGAAAAAGTACCTATTGACGACTGCCTGACGTCAAATACTTAAGTTACCATTTCTAGGCCATCAGCCAAATGACTTTTTCTCAGCTTTACTTTCATGCAAAAAAAACTACATAGCTGGGTCTCGGATCCCCAGACTACGTGATTATTATTAAAAACACTGGTAGAGAAACATATTTTACTTTGTTTTTAGTGACAGTTATTGACTAAATCCATTGAGATGGATTGATTCTTTCCTAGACTCTAACTACTCATGCTCTGAAATAATGAACAAAATTGGAGTTAATTAGATAGTTCAAGGCATTACAGTAGCTAAAACATGTGTTCACAAATTCTAGCAGTTTTTTGGGCACCGGGCCTCCAATTCCTGATTCCCCGGGGATAACGTCGTTATCTCCCTAATTTCGTGGGACGTGACTGAACGAATCCGCTCCGGTTGTCCCACTGGACCTCCCTTCCGTCTGATCTCTTTCAGTTAAGCGTCTTATCGTGTCGTGTTATCACGATATGGCCAATTTTACTTTTCGGAGAAATAGCCTAGCGCCAATTTAAATTTTGAAAGTTTATGTTCTAGACGATTCTGACCCTCCTTTTCATAACGATTTCACTGTTAACGTTTTTTTTTCTCGTTTTCATCGGTGGGTTCAACTGTATCAATCCGGGGTAATTTCACACTGATTCGCAATTTAAGTTTATGCAAACTAGATTTGCAATCTAATTTTTCTAAAATTTCTTGAAAAATTACTAAAAAACATCATTAAAAATCACTAAAAAAATCACCAACTCAAGAATTTTTAGTGATTCTTGAAAAATCACTAAAAAATATCATTAACCTGCTTAAATACTCAAACAACACCCGAGGGAGGGTATCTGACCAACTACCAAAACACTCAATCAATCGATCAGTAATGATATAAAACAACCTGAAACAACTAAATAGTAAAGTCAGATCATATCTCGTCCTCTTTTTAGTCATTTTTGTTTTGTGTTTTTCACTGTTTTTTCTACTTTTTTGTTTTTAGTAAATTTGTTTTCGGCTTTTTCTTGGTAATACACTGTTTTGTGTTTGGTTTTACGCTTTCTCTTCATTTGTGTTTGGTCTCAGGCCTCACGATCATGACTTCTCACCTAACCCTCTAACCCCGGAAACTTTCAGTCTTAACTAGGTTAAAGAGCCAAATTGTTCCATGTGGAGGGTCCGCACCTTCTTCCTTGAACAATACAATCCATTAAGGCCTCTAACTTGGGCATAAGCCCGGAACGGAGGGTTCATCAATGAAACGTTTGCTGATTGTGTTGGTCTATTGCTTCTAACAGGCCCACCCAGGAGCGCCATAAAATCGTATTTGTAACTTTCGCCCATACAATACATAGTAACGGAGCGAAGAAAAAGTACCTA